AAAGTGTCATATGGGATACGGGCTGGTCCACCCTCTGGATCATCCGTTAGAATTTCACATGCATGCTTCATTGAACTGAGCAGGGTCTAAAAAAAGCCAAAACAGCAAGCAAACAAGTATACTTTAGACTACAAGGCAAACACTAAGATTCACTTGTAGCTATTCTAATACTGTATTTAATTAGACTCATAGCTTCTCTTTCCACAGAAATGTAGAACTAAAGTAAAACGCCACCAGGGCAGCAAATGTGCAAAAAGTAGCACAGTTCTTTATAAATAGGCACAGAATGAAACCTGCATTTATTTCAGTTTTCATCCCAGGTTCATTCATAAAATAAATTGGGAAAACACCCAGAAATACCACTTCAAACATTATGCAGTTCTTAGTGAAAAGCATGCAAATCATCCAGAGATTTGAATGCATGTTGATTGCACATATTTAGTGAGGAAACCAGAACGTTGGCAAATTCTCATGGTTACAGCAGAAAATGGCACATATAACACTCCATAGGGCAGTGGTGGCTGTGTTGTTGGGTGACAAAATGCAAGTGCATGTGTGCGCAATAGTGTGCACACATGCCAGCACCCATAATGCAAAGCGTGCCCAACACACACACACACACACACGCTCCGCACTGCTCGCCTCCAAGCTCAGCTTGGTATTTCCTCCAGGGCCGGGGAAAGCCTCCAGAGCCTGGGGAGGGTGAAATACGGGCCCAACGGGCCTACTGGAGGTTCAGAAATGATCCATTTCTGGCTACCGGAGAGCCTCCAGGGGGCCGGGGGAAGCCATTTTCTCCAAGAAACCCTCTGGAGCCTGGGGAGGGTGAAAACCAGAAGTTCGGACACCTATATGGCCTGTTTTTCACTAAACCGACCTCCCTCTGGAAGCCCAGAAATTGGCTGGCCGGCACGTGAATCCGTGCTGGAACTGACGGTTCCGCGTGCCACCTGTGGCATGCGTGTCATAGGTTCATCATCACGGTCATAGGGGATTTATGTATTTTTCCTTACCTCTGCATGAGGTTAGTTCTCTATAATTCACCAACAGAAAACCATGCTGACACTTAAGAAAGAATTTAGAATGATTCTCTTCCATCAAGCTTTTGGATTTTGATCTTGGGGGTGGCTATTTTATTTTATTGTATTGCTGGGTGCAGTTCCCATCCTGGAGGTTTTTACCAACTGGGAGGGGCAATGATCTACATGGCAGATTGTTGTGCTGACAGCAGAGGACCCTGTCCACTTCATCAGATCCAGCAGGACCAAAATGTTCCCAGATAATTAGGCAAGACACTTGCAGGCATCTCCAAGGAACTTGATCCACACTTAGACTCCAACTGGGAATGGAGCCAATCAATTCTGCCTGTGAGAGGTTCCAAAAATCCCTCCACATGGCCCTGAAGATGATCATCTGAGTCCTCCTTCCCCAGGAGGTACCAGGTGACCCTAAATAGGACCACCAGGTGACACTCTGTCGATGCAGTAAGAGCAGAGAAATAATACTGTTATCACTCTTACTATGAACTAGTCCTTAATAGTAACTGTGACCCATGTCCATTTGGATTGATGCCTGGTTTTCCTCCAGTAGTCTAACTTTGTCTTGTTCTTTGGTTAGCACTAATAAAGTGGGTTTCCATTAAATTCCTCTTAATTGTGAAATTCAAGGAATTTGGATTAATATATTGTAGCTTAAATGATAAAAAGCCCAAATATAGGTAGTCCTTGATTTGCAACCATACTGGAGTCTACCTATCACACTCATAAGTCATGATGGGCTAAATTGAGTTGGTCATGTGGCTGAATCAATTTCACAACTTTTTTTCGGTGGTTAAATGAATGCTATCGTTAAGTGAATATCACAGTTATTAAGTGAATCAATAGTTCACTGCCAAAAACTGGAAGGATGGACAAAACGCGTAAAACGTGGTCATGTGACTGCAGGACACTGCAAAGAGCGTAAATGAAGCTGTGCTGCTGAGCTCCCAAAGTTCAGTCCTGCGACCTGGGAAAGGTTTCCATTGTAATTTTGAATCAGGGTTGTAAGTAACCCCAAGATAGGTCNGGTCTAAAAAAAGCCAAAACAGCAAGCAAACAAGTATACTTTAGACTACAAGGCAAACACTAAGATTCACTTGTAGCTATTCTAATACTGTATTTTATTGCATTGCTGGGTGCATTTACTAATTTTATCCATTTGTTGCAAATATATGTTATGTGGCTTTGTGTTTTAATGGCTATCATTTGCTCATAACTCTATGCTTGGAGTGGCAAACAGATCGCACAAAACATTTTTAAAATCTCATTTTCAATCAAAATGGAAATCATAAAATATTTAATACAAAATGCTAGCAAGCAGGAATCACTCAGTTTAACACTGTATTATTCATTTATTTTTATTGTAAATTTGTATTCCACCTATCTCACTATCAAATGATTCTGGTTTCTTATAATAACATAACAGAATAAAACAATTACTGAATCTGCAGCATGTTACCCAGTGGCTTGGTTCAGGATCACCTCGTCCCTCAGGTGATCACCTTTGGGGCAACACAGAATAATCTGTTCAACACTTGATGGACAGAATTTTAATGGTGTTACCAGTTTGAATGGTAAGTCACACAGAATCACCACTAGACAGGGTGGGTGGCACATAAATCTAATAAATAAAATAAATTGAAGATCAATATCTTTTTCATCACTCTCTAAAAAGTGGAGGTAAGAGTCTGGATGAAAATTGTCCAGGAAGATAAAGTCTAAAGATGATTTTTAAAGAAGGGCACACACCAGTAGTTCCCAAAGTGGGCGGTACTGCCCCCTGGGGGGCGGTGGGATGACTTAGGGAGGCGCTAAGAGGCAAGGGGACAGCAGAAGGGTGCTAAGAGGCAAGGGGGGCAGCAGGGGGGCGTTAAGAGCCAAAGGAGGTGGCAGAGGAGTGCTGGAAATGGCCCCCTCACAGGGCGCAATTCTGCCTGGGGCTCTGTTGGCCTCCAGTCATCTGAGCACTTCCAGCAGGGGTGAAATTCAGTCTAACGTCCCAAAGACTGGAAGGATTTTTCGCTCGCTCGCTCAGGAGGCATACAAGCATGTCAGGCTGGGGGGGTGGGGCAAAGGGGGGCAGTGAAAGAAGAGAAGAGCCTTTTGCCTGCATTTCTTCTCTGATACGACTCTGCGTGTGTTGTGCATGGAGAAGAGATGTGGGACTGAACAGGGCTGTCCTTGGGCCTGCATTTCAGGGATTGGGAATTGGTGCTGCATTATGCAGCAGAGTCCGATGTCATTACGCAAGAGCGCTCGCCTGCCTCTCTCGCACTTTTATAAATGGCTTTACTTCTGACTCCCTTTCCGGGACTGTGCTGCGAGCTGCCTCCGCGAGGATTGCATCGCA